ACCCACTGTTGGTTTTGTTGACCCATTTCTACCATTTGACCTGCCAAGTGTGGATCAATTATCCCAAGTAGCAATCTCCAACTGGTCAGTAGCTTCCGCCGGCCACCCACAGCCATGGCTCTGAAGTAGCTCGAGCTGCCAATGAACATCGCTGCCATACCTTCGCGGACCATCCAAGATGAAAACACTAGGGGGTCGTGTTGGCAAGAAGAACACATAGAATCAAGGATTGGTACATTCAGCTGGATTATCAAATGTGTGATTTTAGGGGTAGGGTGGATACCTTGAGGAACCAGCAATCATGGCCATACGAACTTAATTTTGAATGGCGGAAGGGATTGAACCTCTGGTGAAAAGGTGAACAACATCTTGGGAAGCACTGGCAAAACATGGCTGAAATGGGGTTGTGGGTCTGATAATGAAACCCAACTTTCGCAAATACCAGATAAATTGATGAGCACTGCTTCAACCTGTATTCATCCAGAGGCCTCCGCTAAAACAATCATTCCTTAACTTCAGGATCTGAGCAAGTGGGAAACATTCTGGGCGCAGGGACTCACAACAGCACAACCAAAAGCAACATGGTGACATGGTGCGAATTTGGGCATGCAGCAATTGTCACAGTCATTGTCCTCAAGTCCACTGGTGCATCATTGTTTTTACAGTATATCTCCAAGTCAAATTATAAACTGGCTGCCCATCTCATCCCTGTTTTTGAACAAAAAAACATGGTTTGAACCGCCCGTGTTTCCCACTAATTATTTGGTTTTGCCATGTTTTGCCATCAAAACTTGGTATGTAACATTATGTAACTACAAGACATGGAATGGTAAAATCAGTCTTGAACCCCCACAATCGCCCAAGAACCGTCTCAATCCGTCTCACACTTCAACCCCGGCTGGGCGGCCCAGACAACTCCCCCGCCAAACGTTTCAGCGCTCGCGCGAGGCGGGCGTTCTGCTTGACCTGGAGCGGTTTGTGAAGAGCATCGGATTGGTGAAGGGAATAAATGGCAAAAGTACAGTGGCAACCCCAACCTTAGATTATCTTAGATGGTCACCACGCAATTCCCGGTAGATTCGCACATCATCACAATGAGATGCGTTTTTCTTGGCAAAAGAAATCACTGGCAGGAACATGAGGATGTCATATACTCAGACATCTTTCAACCAGAGCGGGTCAAGAATCATATGATTGTGAAAGCATCCACAGAACCCTTTCATTGCACCCCTTAAAACTGGCCAAAGGTTAGTTGAAACCAAACAGCTCAATGGTGTTTACTTCTTCATTGTTGCTAGTGTTATGTGTGATCCACATAGAACCACTGATGGCGTCCCTTGACGATGTGTCGATTGGACTGTGCAGATCTGTGCTTCGCAGTGAATCCTTACCCCAAGATACTTGTCGCACACAAACATCTGAAAGTAAGAGCAGGGTTGGTCAGAAGAGTTCTGTCTTAATCGGAAAATTGGAGAATGATCCTAGACATTCGGCCCAAGTAACGATCGCATGAGGATGTGACAATCAACATCAACAATAGTGGATTTTCTACACTGCTAATCTTTTAATCTATCGTGCAAACGGTATCTTATAGAATGATAGTAGCAAGATAGTACCTCATACTACCGGGATTCCTGGCAAAAAAAAGGCGCAGAGGACTACCCAACCTTCACCCATTGTACATCATTATACATACCGATCATTTCCCAACACATGGAAGCGCGACATCTCGAGACAAAATCTGGGGAAGTTGGACTAAATCCTAACCTGGTTTCCCAAGCCGTGTGTGACGGATGATTCCGCATTGCTTCCTGAATCATTAGCCAGTGTTAAAAAGATTGTTGATACAGAAAAACAAACACTAAATCAGCGGTCCCCGCAACCTGTTAAAAAGTTGGCTCATTTCCAAATATTGTTGGTACTATCACCCTAAATACCCCCGCATTATATCACACTAAATCCAGATTTAATTTATTGCTGATCACACCTATATGGTATTAATGGTTGGTTATATCCTGTCATTATACCCCGTGGCTAGACTATTGATCGATTACATCCTTATATATCCATTACTTAGCCGCTTATTGGGTAAATCGCAATGAAACCCATCTATATTATATTTGCCCTCTGGTTATTTAACATAGCCATGGAAAATAGCCCATTTATAGATGATTTTCCCATTAAAACCTCCATTTATAAAGGATTTTCCATGGCTATGTTAAATAACCAGATGGTATATATATATATATTTCTTGCTATATCCCGTTGAAATCACCATTTCTTGCTGCTTAAACATCCGCATTTCCACATGATCAGAGGCTGTTCCCCCACCACCGCGGCAGACCTGCAAAGCTCCTCCACTGAGCTGCTCACCTTCAAAGCCAAATTCCTCCAGGTGCGGTGTGAGCCATGATGGCCATGGAGAAATTTCAGTGCCACCCACTCCAAAAAAAGACAGATGGTCTATAAATGATGGTTTCTCCATATCAATCTCAATTTTCTGGATGATATAGTGCTTGGATTTTTGAAGGTGTTCTTTAACATTGTTTATCTATCTTGAGGAATCGCTTCTGCGAATTTGGGCGTGTTTTGGGTTGTCAGGGGCCTGTTTCCCTTTATTTTTTGGGGATTTGTTTGAGGATCATGTTTGTTTGGGAAACCTGTGAATATCACAGAATATCACCATGTCTTTATGGTCGAATACCCAAGCCCTGCAGCACTGATTTGCACATTGATAGGGTAGAATTGTATCTGTCAAAGTCACGGGGTACTCCATATAGGATAATGGAGTCATTCCACATGACCAAAGGGCCAAATGTTGCTGTCTTTTGCTGGAAAAGAAACATAACATAGGGAAGGTTTTCTACATAACATAGGCATGAAGGACACCCAAACATTGTGTTCTAGTTTTCAAATACCTGGGCCATGGCTATGTTTTGAACACTTGTCAACTTGTCAGTGGCTAAGTGCAGCCAAAACAGCGAACACCAATCTGAAAATACTTAGACATGGAAATACACAGAAATCCGATACAGTGCATATTTGTCTATCTATCTACCTATGTATCTATCTCTCGATATCTCTCTCCCTCTCTCTCTCTCTCTGCATACCATTCTTGATAAATATGCAGGTTCTGACCGCCATTCTTGTCTTACAACCAGCCCGTCTAGGACCAATCCTACTGATCTCGGCCTCTCTGCGAATGCTGGCGATCAACTCCTGGACATGGTTGAGCCGAGCTCACATATGGGTGTCACATGGTGTAACCATGTTGAAAATCAATTCCATTAACCAAGATTTGCCTAGGATTTGGTATAGCTGAACGAGGTTGCTGCTCACACTGATGGTGGAACCATTTTCGGCAGTGCCAATCGCTCCCAGAAGCTTAGCCTGGAATCCCTGTCCAAGAGGAACATAGTCTTGCAAGCCGCTGATCCGTCTTATCCCTGCTTAGGATTTCCATGAAATTTCAGGCACCAATGCTATCCGCTGCCCCATATGTTTTCAAATAGTCGCCTCCGCCGAGCCAGGCGCAGCCAATGCGGCTGGGCTGCCGGAAGTTGATACCTAAGGCTGAAGCAAAGGGGGAACTGGGATCATCTTAGATCTTTAGGTACTAAGAATTGTGAGTAAATAAATATTGGGTAGAATGTTTTCTATAAACTCTTCTGAAATATACTCTATCAAATGCCAAACTAAACCACTGTAACAAGACTGGATAGTTCATACGGAGTATAAATGGGCAATATGTTTTTTTGGCGAAGCAAACATTTTTTGATGGGCACTTATCAGTACTCGTAGGAACATTGCCTCTTTGGATGACTGTATATTAATGCGTTTGAGTATGGCTGGGACTGGTTGAAACCACGTTGTTTTACAACTCGGGTAATAATTCTGTCCAACAAATAATCGATTACAATCCTGGTAAAGCCATAAAGTCGGTGGTTCGCACACCATCACAACATCAACCATGATCAATAGCAAGGTCAGGATTTGCTTATGAACCACCAGCAGTGAAGTCTTGGTAGTTGAAACTTGAAACCTGCCCAAGTCTGTGGGGCTGGTCATGTTCGTCTTCCCAGTGGATGGTATAATATTCACCAACTTAATAGAGGGGGATAGATCACCAATAACAACAAACAGATTCAAGAAGGGCGTATAACCTACGGGAACAAACATTGTTGGCTAGTTGGTGTCGTTGGTAGATGGTCCATCGTTGACATGCATACAAACTACGAAAAAAACAAAATGGTTCACCAGTTGGAACATGTTGTAACAAAGGTAGCAAATCCAATGCATGTCAAATCAACTGCAAGTCATCCTCACATGAGCCCTGTGAGTTTACCGCAACGAACTCTGACGGATTACCCACATGCAACCCACCAGGGCCAACCTTCAATGCCCTTCGATAAAGGATATATACTGAGTATGCTGTATGTTTATTTTTTTCCAGAAAATCCCCAAACATGCAGCTGCACAGAGTCATTATGCAACCCAGCTTTCACCAATTTGAGAAAAACAAAGAACCCAGAATATGAATATCAAGCCAGAATAAGAATATTCTCCGTATCATCCCATCATTGCAATACCAGAACTGGTCACAAGATCTGGCTACCATTCACCAAGCCTTACCAGCGTTACCCAAAAGCCCAGCCTCGACTTCCTTCGGCCTGGCTGAATTCTCTGCAGTGTTCGACCTGACATGATCCATTTTGTGTGAGGCCTGGACACACAGCTGGTGACGGTGAGTCTTTACTGCACATTTGGTAATTTTGGTTAACATGTTATAACTAATAGGGATTCTACAAACCCAATTTTCCAGAGTTCCGTTCAATTTTCAAAGGATAAACATAACAACCCTGAGGGATAGTCTCCATGGCTAATAATATGGCTTTGGATCTTTAGATACCCTACAGAAATAACAACTCAGCTGCTCAGTATGTACCACTATTCATGGCAAAGAGGAAAACACATGCAAACATCAGGCATACCCAACCAGGTTTGCCCAATCTACTGCTTGAGCACAACCAGCCAACCAGCCCCTTTTGCACTCACTGCATCTGGCTGTGCTCTTTGGGAGAACTGCGCAGTTCTAAAGGCAGCGGGAAGGGGCTGCCTTCTGATGTCAGGAAGCGTCTGAATTGAGATGTCACCAACCTTTATTCAAGTGCTTCCAAACAAAATTGAGAATATGTTATATAAGTGTATATACTAAATAGAAACCCAAGCATTTGATGATATGTTCTGTCTGCTTGAGAAGGGCAAATATATGCTTTTGGGAAGCTCCTGATCTTGAGAGACCACACGTTAGGCATTTTAGCTCTTGTGAAAGGCGGCCATTAATAGTCATTAATTCGTGTCCATGTGATGGTTAGAAATTCAAAGGTCCAAATCGACTTGAAAAAGGGACATCTGACTACCCCCTAAAGCACTTCCCCAACCTGTGTGGCCCTTCCCCCGATGCGTAGATGTGCAAACACTTTCATTGAAAGCAAAGTGTGACTGGCACTTGGGATTCAATCATTTGAAAGATTCTGAAAGCAAATGCTGCGACTTTTGATTGAACAAACAATTTGTTTTGAGACGCTCCCTCTGTAGCCACTGCTCACGACACCCACGTCACACTCACTCTTTGGCCTTCTTCTGACTCCCTGGCAATGCAAGAGGGATGAGAATGAGTCCAAAACATGTGGCAACCACTAATCAAACATAAACGACAAGGCCCGGCGTCACCAAAAAAATGGTACAGTATGCAAATGTACGATGTATGCAATATAATTTGCAGGTAGATAACGGTAGATATGGTATTTGTCTTTTGGTGGGAGATAAGTAAACGGAATTCAAACAAAGTCTGCAGATACTGCGTGCTTCCCAATGCATTGATACATATGGTGGTTTGCACAATAACACGGCTGGGGGTCGAAAATCTGGGCATATTGCAACATGTAGTAAACACATTGCAACATTTAGAAACCTGACATAAATTATGACATAAGCAATTTTTGAGGTAATCCGCATAACCAACCATCATTTGTGCTGAGGTCGGCCAATGAGGTTGCTTCCAAATTTCCCCGAAAACACACAAAACAATTGATGATTCAAGGACAACAACATGTAAAAACATGGCATTGCCGGTGGATCTGGTCCTGCCATCCTATGTTTTCCATGTCACCTGGGGCCCCATCCCAAAAATGGAATAGTGGAACAAAGAATGCCAAAGATATCTTAAAACCCGTCCACATCTCTTTTTCCGGAAACAGGAGCCCCACCCAATTGCAACCCCCAAAAAAAATGAGTTGGACGCAAATCTCCAATTTTTTGCCTTTCATTGGTCTTTCAACCGTCTAACTCTCCTGCCCCACGGCGCCTTTCAACCAGCCATGGTAAAGGCAAAGACCAGCGATGATTAAGATCAGACCGAAACCGAAGAACCTGCAACTCTGTGAAAATGGGCCCTCTCGCAAGTACAAATGCCAATGGCAAACCCCTCCAAACACAGTCTATCTGCTTGGGAAATTCCATTGATTCTTTGTTCACATGTTTGACTACGCGGGCAGGGGTAGCATTCATCAAATGATGTGAATTTTCTCCATGCAGGGGTTTACTGCCAAAACCTTGAATGCTATGGCTTGAAAGTGGGTGAAAAAACGCGTCGTATCACTACTTTATCCCTTGTGTGTGGCAATCATTCTCACAAACGATACGTTTTGCAAAGGCTACAGGCACAGCGGAACTCATAAAGCCTGATTGTCGTGAAATGCCACGCCTTCCACAAATTGAAACTGGCAAATCAACACAAAATAAGACGAGGTAGATTCTGCTGGAGGAGGTGACCATATTATATAATATTATATAGTTGTTTACATCGTATTTGTATTAGCTTGGTGCAACCAGGTGTGTGTCTCGAAGTATTTTTCCACGGACTGCGTGATCTGTACGTCCGCGTTCCCGCGCATGTCACCCGCACGGTCACCAGCACTTAAAGGCTGGCATGGAAACCCAGCGATGCAAAGATCATCGGGATGCCATTGGAAGATAGGTTTGTGTGGGGGTATCAAGAACAACTGCAATGGAGAGCAATAATGGGATACAATGGGAATGTAAAATTTGGCGGTGTAAAAGAATGCAGGAATACCACCACATATGGCCATTCAAATGGGGAGAATAACGATCAAAAATGGGAGTGTGGGTGCAATATAGTGACTATAGTGTAATTATCATTAATTATCATTAATTATCTATTTTCAAACAATACTTGACTTGCTTCCCTTACTTCACTCTTCTATCTTTGATCTTCCAACGACCCTGTGCGAACCTTGCTGGTTTCATCCAGCACGGCTCCCGACTCGTCGCTGCCAAAACCATACCCCGGTGATGGGGTTTCACCATGTGAGGAGTCCAGTCATAGCCCCATAAAATCATATAAAATCTATTTGCTTATTGAATCAAATTGAATCTCAATATTATTGAGCCCTGTTGTAGCCTCAGCAAAGGGTTCATTGCCATCTCCAAATCACTACTCATCTTGGCAAATCAACTACTCACTTAGTATTTCATAACCTCATAACCTCAAATTCAACCCTTTATCGAATGATTTGACTTATCAACCCTCTGCACTCATCTGCAATGCTCATTCCTTCTTTTCAGGCTTCGGTGTCACGGGATTGGAGGGAAAGGCAAAAATGTGCAGGGCTCCCAAGAAAAGCACCACCTCGGCGACAAACAAACTGCTGGCTTTGGATCATTTGGATCTGCTTTTTTTGTCATTTTGTCAGGGTTTAGACAGGGAGATAACAAACACACATGGGAAGATCATAGACAAAAAATCATTGATTTGCCAGTGGTCGAGCCACCCATGTTACAAAATATCAATGCGGCAAAAGAAACATTAATCACTTGAACGCATCAGTGACAGAGGAAAATCGGACGCCAGCACAACATCTGGAGGATAGAAGCAATTGCGGGACCTCAAGGACCCTATGGGCTATGGGATGATTGAATGATTGACCATATTGTATACACCATGCTGGTGCTACTCAGCGTCCGTTAAGGATTGCCAAGACGTTCCAAGGACTCAAGGACCAAGACACCGCATAGATGTAGAAGAGCCGTGGCACGATGGTCTCCCCGTCTGCCACGTAGGAGCCTTGAGCATGAAATCACAATGGATACGACAGGAATGTACTCAACGAACATCACCATGCGCGCCATGGAATATTGACATCATACTTTTCTTGGGGGATGGAACATCAACCATGTTTGAGTCTATAAACCAAAACTGCCCTGCAGTGTGAATTAACATAGATCAGGTTCCACGGGAAGCCCATGGATTTCCAAATCCAAAGGGTAATGTCCTGCTTCAGCAACGCATGTGGCTGGTGTCTTGGAACGTGTTGCGGAACTCAATGAGTTTCCACCGTCCCATTGAGTGAGTCATCTCGGGCAAATGATATCATACAGTATACAAAAATCCCATCCAACTACATAATCAATCAAAATTATGCTATACAACCCCATAGGATCCATGTATGGTATATATACTAACATTGGGGGTATATTGATGGTAAATGTTACCATATATAGCATACATGGATCCTATGGGAACTACCACACATTCACAAACCTGAAGAGTTTGCCAATTGTTGGATGATTCTCCCTGGTCATCCCTGGTCCGACCATAGTTTTCCCAAAACCATACGACATCTACCGCTTCAAACATCTTCAAACTGATCCTGGGGAGTCAAGCCCCAGAAGTGACCCCGCAAAACAATATATTCAATACATATGGAGAATAGATGGATAAGAGGCCCTCACCAATCTGGTTATTGAAGTTGTCTCCGAGGCCTCAAGAAGCTTTTACTCTTGGTGGGGGGTTCCCTTCAGAATTCCATGAGCTGAGCATCTGTAGCCAGTGTAGCCCGCAGCAATGAAGCCGCCAAGACCGCTCAGTTTTCCATTGATGGGGTTCCACTTCACACCTGCCAAAATCCCTGGCATAAAACCACCAGAAATAAATTAGCCAATGAAAAGCCAGGACATGTCCCAAAAATGATGGTTGGTTGATGGCTATAGCGGCTACACTGAAGTTCGTGATGACTTTCTTGTCGATTAATTCTGAACTAGTCCAAGAACTGACCCTATATAGGCCGTTTGCTGACAAATGTCATGCCAATGACGGAGTTTGTGAGGATGGGTGGCCACTGGTGCCTAGAGCCACAGGTCTGTTTCAGAAACAAACTCTACTGGCCAAATAACTTGTTCAGAAGTGGGCAATTCTGATTCTGCCTCGGCATGAATTAGTTTGAGTGAGTTGCTGCCCTTCCATCATCAAGCCTCTTAATAGAAATCACATGAAATCACCATCTGTGAGACTGCGTGGGAGGAAATAATCTGCCGGGGGATATTGCACTCCCATATTTCATTCTTGGAAGGTGCTCAGGTTATGAGATCGGTGCACCTGAAAACATGAGGGCCACGATCAGGAACAAACTTGCCACAAACTTGGTCAAGATCGTCAAGTCAGGACTCTCGCTTTTCAGCTGCGCCTGCGATCCGGAAGCTGCTTAATGGCGAAAAAAAACCAGTACCGAAGGCGTGGCTACAACGCCAACGCAAATATCATGGAATCAAATGGGTGTACCCTTATTTTTCATCCACCAAACACTAGGAATTTGATGAATTTGGGATATGGTCAATTTGCCAATGAATTTGGGATATGGTCAATTTGCCAATATTTGAACAATATTTCATGGTTAAACCCAACTCATTGGCTTTTGTTCAATCCCCCATGCTATGTTTGCTGACGAATTGTGCAAAATATACCACCAATGATCATCCCATGGCCCCCTTGAGTTTGGCGCAGGGAATTTTCACAGGAGACCGGCTGGCTGGCAAAAACCCAAAGGTTTCGAATGGTTGCCAGCCAGCCACAAGTGCCTGTGTAACTCACTGATCATCCTGCCTTGAATGGCCCAAAGTCTTCGTACAAATGCTTTGGATAGAAAAACATCAACAGAGACACCATCAGCAAACTGAGAGCGATGACATCGGAGAAGTTGCCGTGGTTGTTCTTTGTCTCCTGGCCAGCGCTTTATTTAGACATGTTTTAAACATGTCAAGCCGAGTCAAGCCTATTAAACATAACCAGTATAGAGAAGAATCCTTTGCAAATGGGATACCTTCCTGGGATGCCCCTTTCATGAACTATATCCGCCATAGCCCCATACGGTCCGTACAAATGTACGTTGGTTCCGCTTGGTCATAGAGATTGATACAGTGGACGCGACATCTTTGAGGATGCAGGATGCTGCAGGTAGATATCTGGGTGGTAGTTGAACCAAAGATCCCCAAAAATATGCGTCAGCTTGAAGATACAACGTGTAAAAACAGCAGACAGATTCATCATTGATATGCCCCACTACCTATACTCCATTTGTCGTGAGTAATTCCCATCTATTGATGCTTCCCCATAATCCCCGGTTTTCGAAATGTTGCCCTCGTTTTTGATGATATTTGATGATCCCATCACATTGAAATTTTGCTTAAACCACCTCTAAGAAGCAAGATATAAATATAAAATTATATATATATACAGTATTTATATGTATAATATAACATATGACCCCACAACAGCCACAGCCGAAAAAACAATGGCCCTTCTTCCCGTCACGTGCCGCCCGTCGTCCGGGGTCTTCTTGGGCAGCGGATTGGAAGGCATCGCGAAGATGTGCAGCGCACCCAGCAGGACCACGCCGATGTAGGCGTAAAGAAGCCGTGGGACGAAGGCACCATCCAACCTGACGGTGCTGTCAATGGGCAAATGAGAAATCACAAACTCAACCTTACCAAAAACATGCAAAAAAAACATGATTTACAGTGAGTTTGTGAGATGTGAGGTGGTTTTATACTTTTTCAGAATATCATGGCTATTCTAGCAGCATCTGCCAACAGACAGTTGATGACAAATGGACGTAACCAACCAAAAAGAGATACTGAGATACTTGCCAACAAATAGATTGTAATCAGCAAACAGGCAGAACATTGGATTGTCAACCAAAAAGGAAATTCAGATGCTTTGTTGATCAGCGATGGCGATTCTTTTGCCGACCAGCATTTGGCCACGTTGGTTGCAGTAGAAATCTCCATTTTCCAGGTGACCATCTGAGTCGTACAATGGGTGTACTATGGTGTACTATGGTGTACTGCATACTTGAATTCATGCCAATTAAAATGGAGGCTAATATAGGCTACCCTCTGGTAATTTAACATAGCTATGGAAAATCACAATTTTTAATGGGAATATCCACTATAAATGGCCATTTTCAATAGCTATGTTAGTTTACCAGAGGGTAATGCTACTAAAATTTCTAAACCAGTGGACTTTTTGGACTTGAGCCCATCTCCATGCCAGGCAACTGGAAGAGCGAGTACAGGGTGTAGCCCAGTGAGGTGAAGGCACCAAAGCCTCTGCGCCGTCACGAAATCCCAACAAAACGAAGCCATCAAACGTCAACCTCAACTAATCAATCATCATCTTAGGACATCTTAGAATATCCTGGGATGCCTTAGGAAACGAGGAAAATTAGACCAAGTAACAAAAAGGTATTCAAAACAAACCGTCTTCAGGCTTCCTCCTTGGGTCTGCCATAGTTTATGTGGCAACCAGCATCCCCTGTCCCGCTGTGGCCTGCCATCTTGCCGTTAATGGGGTTCCACTTCACAGAGGAAAGCATCATGCCGATGATCAACAGCAAGCCACCCGCCAGCTTGATCATAGCCTTGGGGGTCAAGATGGTCAAGTCATCCTGTTCCCGGATCATGATAAAACCCTTCATAACCTTTCCATTCTTGAGACACACTGAACAAATCCGCACAGTATCATCAATCAAAATATGTTAGGGTGTCTGGAGTGGTGTTCATTGTTGGCGGGAAGAGATATGAAATATAATCCCAAAGTCCATGGAGCCTCCGGTTGCTAAACGCAATTTTGGGCGATCATGGTATGGTCAGGTGGCAGGTCGCCTATGGGCCATTCGTCCATTGGGAGTCGGAGGTCAAGTCATCAGTGTAGCATTCTGGGCCAACATTTTGGGGATTGATCATCTTAACCCGCACCCGTAGCGCCGTAGGTCTCAGCATAAGCCCATCATGCCCCAACAGCATCCAAGCTGCCGTCATGTCCGCACTCTGCGCCTTGAATTGCGCCTTGAAGGGCCCCACATCTTGGAACAGCGTATGCGGGCAGGCGAAGAACTGCCCCACCACGGCCAGCAAGGCCAAAAAGACCAGGTCAGACAAGTTCCCATGTGCCATGGCGGTATAGTCAAACGGTAGGACTATGGTCAAAGTGTCGAAGTCAACGAATGGTCTATGCAAATGTTTGTTGAGGCATGTTGAGGCTATTTCTTTGGATCATTTCCATTTTCGGCATCATGCAACATGGATGTACTTCAGCAGCTGAGGAGCCACAAAGCGGTACAGTGGCCAGGGGACCTGACTACTTGGGAGACAGTGTCTTGTCCTTGAAGCATCCAACCTGGGGTGGAAGTGTTTCATAGCCATTTTGTGCTTCAGTTCATTGAATGACTCCACCTTGTAGTGGTAAACGTTCAATAATTTTGTCTTCATGTTGTTCATTGAATGTATTTCATGATCTCAGCACATTATGGGAAACACATTTTTTCAGCATCTTGCTCTACTCACAGCCATATTCTACTTCGAATGACTTCCATAGAAGCATGCATTTCATTGCATGTCCGAACTTCAACCTTAAATCCTCCTGTCATTGACTTTCTCATTTTTCTAATTTTTCCATATTTATAATATTTATATATGTATCCTCCCCATAGCTTTGTTGTCCCTCGCCCCATCTGCTGCGTCCGCTGCCGCGTCCGCCTGTCCAGGGGCTGCCCCGGCCCCAGCAGCGGAATGTCGCAGGAGGCGAAGGCCACCGCGGTGATGGGCACCGCCAGGGCCATGGCCAGGGACACCTCAGCCGCCGGTGGCGTGGCCGCCGTGGCCACCATGGTTTTACCGTGGTTGTACCGTGGGTGTACCATGAAAATTGAGGATTTAATTAAGTGATTTAACATGGAAATATATCAGATTATATAGACAGTATGGTGGCAAACTGGGGATCTAACCCGACAAATGATGAACAATTGCCGTAAATTGGGAAAATGGACCCCGTATGCAATCTTGGATATCCGTAGTAGATAAGAAATTCACCCGTGAATGAAAGCAAACAAGACCAGTCACTGCAGCCACCTTCCGATCAACCGACTCTAGTATCAACATCTCACCAAAGAATCTCCTCTCAAACATTTCAGCGAACAATTGCTCCTCAATTGCCTGCGGAACAGTGGGTTGAAAGCTAACCTTGGTGTTTGTGAGTAAATTGACACTTGTTTCACTTAAATTCACTTAAGTATACTTAAGTAACATGCCCATTTTGCAGGCTAAATCGCCCATTGATGTCCTTTCACTAGCATCATTCATTTTTACTCGACCCATGTGATTGATGGACTCGTGAAATCACCTTTTTGCTGGTGGCCCAACCCACCAGTCGTTAGGTAAAAACATCCTTTATTTTAGCTATCTCAACATTTTATGTTACCTCTAAAAATTGATATGGTTGAATAAATCTCTTCATTGTTGCTAAGATCGGTATTTGTTGGTGATTACATCTCAATATCCTGCCTGGGGCATCCTGGGCCTATACCCAACTCAGTATGGCAATTCGGCACCAATGCAACCACTAAGAACGGTGCTCATCTCATAATGTTATTGCTGAAATGCAATTGTGTGCAGCCTGAACCCATCATTATTATCATAATCTGATATGTATCCGTATTATCTATTGACTACAGTAAATCTTAGTGCTGTATCCCTTTCTTCTTTGGTTCACATCTGATGTATGAGTAGCTGCCGTCACTACATTTAAGCCATATCTCGGCAACCCAGCTCACCAACTCCTCCATCCAAAGCAAGGCGCTGAGACTGCTGAAGTCGTGCGCAACAAAGTGAGAACGCTGACGTTGAAGAGTAGGTTCCTAGCTACGGCAGCTACGGTTTATATACATTTGATTTCAGCTGGAGGAAAAATCATGATATGACCAACAAGAATGTGGTTGGTTTCGAGCTACATGTTCATGGGAAAGTCACTACTTTAAGTGAAATCAAGAAACAACCAAGAATGGGAATGGCTCGAACTTACCTCGCCCCAAGATAGGAAAGGTGCTAACTTCAGTTGGTCTACCGGGGTCCCACTTTTTTGGCCATACAGCTAAGTTTGACCAAAACAAAGTACAGGAGGTACGGAACATAGGATCTAAGCAATAAAAATCATATCCTTCCAACAAGAACTAAACCTCCATCCCGGCTACATTGAAGGCCAGCTAAAACATGTTACTGGATGTTACTGGGTTAAGTTGGGATCTTGGCCCCAACTTCTTGAAACTCTTCATCTTATACCTGGATAGAAGGGGATGGCCACCACACAGGAATGACTGACGTAATGGGAATTCAATGAGTATAGCAATTTTTAAAACCCAGATAGCATTATAAACTTATGCCATATAGAACTGGGATGAACTGGGGATATTCCATTTGTAAATGGGATTATAACGTGGCTGTTACCCGGTTACCATGCCGCGCCAGGGCCGCCAGGGTGCGTAGCCAGGTAGAAGCAAGGCCAAATGGGGGAGGACCTCAGAAGAAACAACCTGGATCATATTCATGTAATACTGTAATATGCACATTATTGGATGTATACATATACATTGTTACATTATGTTACATTATGTATATATCATGCGAGACTGATTATGCACATGAGTAGCGGACAAAATTATATGTTAAACTGAATGCCATGCACAAATTAGGGTCGTCCCCTATCGGTTGTGAGGATTTCAGTATTCCCGGAGGATCGGAGGTATCACAAATGGGGTATCGGTATCAGTATAGGGGTCGTCCCCTATCGGTTACTAGACTAAATTAGTATTACAATAATTTTGTTGGTTCCTCACATGTATACATACTATCTATCAACTTTCTGAAACAAAGTGAATCAATTTATGAACCACTTCACTTTTCCAGTTTCAAAGTGTTTCATAAAGGGTTTCAGGTCGCAAAGAGCTTGCGGTCTTGTTGGTGCCTTCAATGCACAAAATGGAAGATCTGCCAATCAACCTAAATCAACACAACATGGATATAAAATGGAAGTTCAGCCAACTGCAATTGGGGGTGTAATCAGCAATGGAGCACGATAAACCAAAATAACTATATACAGGGAGTAGGGAGTTTACCTTGCATCCTTGGATTCGGATATACAATGAAACATGATACAACCAATAGCGGAACTGCAATTAAAGATGTCTCTTGACGATGGATCATGACTTGTTCATCATCCATGGTGTTGAGGAAAACCCCCCACAAGGAAAAACCTGGGATCCAGTGAAGAGAAACATCAGCAAGCTCTGAGGGATACATTGATATCAAGATGATTCTCGTGGTCCCCAGAAACACGGATGACCACACACCATTTCTCTCCCTTTTGCTGCGGGATGTAACCAACTTATTGTCCCTTATAACTTATCATGTGCAAGATCAACTATGTGAATGAGGACAAAACCAGAATCCAAACTTCACCAAACGACAAAAGTATGAATATTATGCACTACAATCAATACAAATCACGACTAACCAATGCATGATGAAGGAAACCCTGCTGGGTATGGGTCAGGGCCAAGCCCTGATTTGTTTTTTGTCGACTTTGACATGGGTCAATTGCCTACCCCCAAAGAATGGGATGCCTGGCAGCTGGCACTCATCTATCACCAATGCCCCCTTTTATTTTGACTGTTATACGTGATACAATCCAGAATAGATACAAAAGTTAGACAGCTAAAAGCGTTGAAAAACCATGAGGTGAGAATCATTTAAAGTTAAACAAACTCTTTTTGTTCTCATGTTTTAGACAAACAAACACAAACGTGTTAAGAGCTTGCAATTTCAGGAGGATTCCGTGATTTCCCCTGTACAACTGGTTAGGACTGACCCTTTTCTTTTGCGGCTGGGGGTACAGTACTTGCTATTTTCCGGGAAGCGATCATGTAGATCGATTTCAATTTGGTGTATGGTTAGAATAAGTCAATCTATATCTGCTGTATGCTTGTTATTATAATAATCCATTTTTGATGGTCGCACAGTTATATCCCCATCGTCCCACTTTTTGGTCTGGCTTTAATATCCTTAGTGTGGTAAACCCAATGCCATGAACCTCGCCTTTTTGATGGGTAACACCAAACAATTTCTGGTGGATTGACTGGGATTGTTTATTTTTGCGACCGGTTTGCCAGATTAATCTTGGGTTATGATGGGATTGTTGTCACTATTGGGATTATTGATTATTGTTGCCAGTCATTATTCTGCCAATGGCATTATCATGGGATTATTATATACTATACATACACTGGTTGGTGGTTTTAACCCCTCTGAAAAATATTTATTAGTCAGATTGGATCATCATCCCCAATCTGGTTGGGGAAAATAAAACATGTTCCAAACCACCAACCAATATATGTTTGATGGGATTCCCACAGCTCACTACCCCCCCAATCGGATCATCAACCAAGGCACCCAAAGGCCTCAGCACCTTCCTGCAGATAGTCGCCGATATCCCCGACGCCCTGCAGTTCGGCCAACCTAGGCGCCAGCGCAGCAATGGATCCCTGGGGCTTTACGGGTTGTCCGTTTACGGCTCCAAATGATGCCAGGAAAAGTATGGAAACATGTGTGGACAGCCTAACTATTGGATTCTTGAAGATCTGAAATACCGCAGAGACTAGTTTTTGATGTGTCTTGGAACCACATTGGCAATTCCTGACCCATATGGCAGTATGGAAAAAAAAACGATGTGATCGATGTGTCACACTTGCACACTATTCACAATAATTGTACCATCTGGTTATGACTAACAGTTCGCCATGGAAAGATCCACCATTTTTAATAGGTAAACCATCTATTTCTATGGGCCATTGTCCATAGCTATGGGTAAATCGTCAGGAATCATCCTATCATAGGAGGTGACACGCCAGCTAGGACTTCAATCGCTTGGAGTCGAATTCGTATCATTCCCAGGATGGGTTGAAACTAACGTGCCAGGAAACCATCCCATTTCATGGCACAAACAACAGCCATTTAAATAATTGACAATGAGACAACCCCATGATGAAAATGAAGATTCAAGTGAGCATATTCATACACATTCCTCTACAAATCTATAGTTAATAGGTTGATTTAAAGGAAAACGCATAATTTTAGCAACCCAGTGACTCCTAGAACTTTTGTACAATATGGTGCGTGTTGAGCCCCCACGACCCATCATGCCATGAGCCAAGAAGCACTGGCAAAAGCAGTAGCACGCACACAGCCTTTCAAGCCGACACTTTGTCGCGTTTGTTTAAAAGTTGGAACAGGTCACTTTTGAATTGCATTTGAT